AAGGCCCCCCCCCCCCCCTCCCTCCATAATGACGATGTGTGTGAGAGAAAAAAACAGAATGAAAAACAGAGGGAGACATAGGAAGGGCGAGGATGAAACAAAAGAGTATCAGAGAGAAAGTGAAGTGAGAGAGTGTGAGGAAGTGTGCATGTGCGTGTGTTATGTAAACCCCAGGTGGGGCTTGTTGTCCTGGATAGAAGTCTCACCAGGGGGACGTCTGCTCCAGCTTAGCAGGTCTCTCCACACCTCTCTCTTTCCTTCTCCCCCTCTCTTTTTTCATAAACACACACCAGCATGAGTCAGGGAGAGAAGAAGGAGAGAAATAAGTAAAAGAGGGCAACGAAGGAAGGAGAAGAGATGCGATTATTGAGGGGAAAGGCAAGAATGAAAAAGACAATGAAGAGGAAACGTGCAGGAGGCAGAGACAACATATCTGCTGAATGGAGAGAGGGAGAAGGAAAGGAGGAGAGATGTAAAATGCATAAATATACATTTCAGAAATGTCAGCGTGTAGTTTGGGAAAACACACTCAACACTCCACTTGTAGCTAAATATTATTCGGTCACATGTGCAACTTGGGAGGGTATGACTATTTTCTCCAGTTCTGTGTTTTGTATTGTATCTGTTTACTGTTTTTTTTATCTCTGTACCAGTAACAGTTCGCCCTTCCAGATACATCTGCATATATCACACACATTTCCACACCCACCCACAGACACAAACACACCTCCCTAAGGGGCTGTTGTCGATAACAGCCTGTGCTCTACACCTGATGCATCTGTGGGGATAGTTGTCTTTGTGCTGAAACAGCAGGAAAGAACATCAGCAGAGACGCTTTATAGTCCCTGTTCGACTGCTGACTTAGGATGGGGCTTCACTGTTCCAGATCTTGACCTCTACTACCGCTGTGGAAATCCCAACTCTGACCCCAGATCAGCACTTAAGACTGATTTCACTCCACTGAGCAGCTGTGGGAATAGAAAACAGACAGCGGGGGGAGGCAGATCTGGGTCAACACTGCCCCCTAACGGTTCAGACATGGAAGTGTATCTGGTAGAGATGACGTAAGGCCACACTGTGTGTGTGTGGGTGTGTGTGTGTGTGTCTGATGATTTAGTAAATGTACAAAGTGTAAGCGTGTATGGGGTTTAACTGGGACCAAATGCAAATGTTGCAGTAGTCATTTGAGTTTTGTTCCTTGAACAGCAGTAAATCGTACGTGAGACAAATAAAAGGCTTAGTTCACCCCAGAGTAGAAACCCTTTAAAAATATAGACATTTATTGGTGCTTTAGAATAGTTAAATTTCCATTGTAATGAAAGTCACTACTTTGAAAAGAACAGTTAAGAGCTGCAGCTCCATATGTAGGTACATTTTAAAAAAGTCAATATAGATATAAATTTGGGAGGAGAATGTAGGACATTTTGAGGATGTATTTTGGTTTGCAAAGCAAATACATTTCCAATTTACCAACCCAATTTAGAGCTATTGATGGTGTAGCAATAACATTTGGTCATTGCACAGGGAGGGAAAGATGTTACCACAGTGCCCGAGGGCAGCTCTGCTCGAGGCATATCCTGCTCACTAACAACCCCCAGTAGGCAGAGAAGAGTGGAGCTGCAGGGAGATTTATCCATCCAGGGCTACTCAGGAAATACTGGAACCTAATGCAGGCATAAGTCAGATATTGCCAACGATGGAAGAAGTACTGAGATCCTGTACTTTACTTCAGTAAAAGTACTAATACCACACTATATACTTTGTTACAAAAGTCTTCCATTCAAATGTTACTTGAGTATCAGTCAGGAAGATGTACGAAAGTAAGTATGAAAAGTAAAAGTACTCAATGCAGAAAAATGTCCCCTGTGACTGTTAAACTATTATATCATTAAATTATGACTATTATTCATGCATTAATGTAAAATCAGGATATTGATGTAGTTGGTTGAGGTAGAGCTCATTTTACCATTTAACTATTTTGTATAGGACTGCAACTAACGTTTTATTTTCATTATGGATTAATCTGCTGATAACTTTTTGATTAATCAATTTATGTTTTGTTTTCATTATTATCATCATTAAAATAATTAAAACAAAAGCAGCAAATCCTCACATTTGAGAAGCATGAACCATGTGATGTTTTTGCGAGAAAAATGTTTAATAATTAAATGTTGAATAATTAAATGTTGAATTAATGTTCTGTCAGTTGACTGACTGATAAATCAACTATTAGCTTTAAGCTGTACTTGTATGTACTGTTGGGTGGTTTAATTCAGAACATTACAGCTTATTACCACTGTGGACATCTGGAAGTTATGTTACAGCTGTCATGAAACATAAACAGAATTTTACAATCTTGTAAACAACAACTCCTGTTTTAATCGCAGGGATATGGATTAGCAATTGGAGTAGTTCTACTGAGCATGGATAGATTCTATGCCAATATGTGAACATATTATTATTTTTATTATTTAAAAAATGTTTTTCAGATAAGAATTAGTGAATTGCAACACATTTGTCTCTTTGCTGATGATTTGTTGATGTACACAGCAACAAGCAATGGACTGTTCTTGGTCTTCTGTGTAGAGCGTGAATTCACAATGTTCACAGTGGAACATAAAACTGGTAGGTGAAATCGCCCATACAGAAAATCTGTTATGGGTATTTTCTGTCTAAAGCTAAAGCAGCATTCATAGGCATGTACACCACTGTGTTCAATTGCATGGTGCAAGGACTATAATCTGGAAATTTGTCCTGACTGACTAAATGTGGATCACCTTTGCATAAGAGGCCTTACTCGTTCTGATATTTCATCATTCTTTAACTGAGGAACACTGTCGGTTAAGGATGATGACTTCCGATATACTCAAAACCAACAACAAACATAATCACATAAGAGAGAAATATACACATATAAAGGATTGCAGTGATTGAAAAATATGTATTTTCATTCAGTAGATTAACTCCTTTAAATGTGCAGTGTACTGTATGTAAAATATGATTAGATTTTATTATTCACATCTCTCTCTCTTTCCTTGACACCAAACCCATTTTCTCCCTTTTCCCCCCATTTTATTTGAAGCAGCTGCCAGGTGGGGGACCACATCCGTAAGAGTTAACAAATTACATATTTGCCCTTTGAGGACCCATCTGCTTTGTGTATGAATAACATTTTCCATATCCGTTCTTGCTGGTTGGCATTTCGGGTTCAGGGAACCACAGCAATCAGGACTGGTTTAATAATATGATTGAATGCCTGAGGTGAATCAAGGAACAGAAGGATAAAAGAATATCAGAAATATGGAAATAGGCTTTATTATCATCAGACTGTACTTGAAGTGTAGACTGTGATCGGCGCTACATTGTGGACGGTTTTCCGGGTAATCAGACAAGTGGTTCTGCATACTGAATTGACTTGCACTCTTGTTTCATCCCACAGTCTGGAATAAATAAAACAAATCTCATAAGCATTTATTCTTAATTAAGAAACTAAATGACTGCTCATATCAAACTGAACTGACTAAGCTTTTTTGCGTCTCTCTGGCTTTACTTGGATTTAGTCTGATTTGTAGATATTGTTGAGTTATGTCCCCATCGCACAATTTGTGCCTCAAGGTCTAGAAAGCTTTATGTTTCCTCACTTCATCTTCCCTGGACGTCTGAGAGGGACTGAAGACGATAATGTGTCTGGTGACCTTTGGCATACGAGACAAAATTAAAGGGACTGTTCACCCGAGTCACCTTTCTCACTTTGTTCGTAGCACTTTATTTTGAAGAAATTGTACCTATGAACCATTATTAGCCTGCTTAATTGACTATCCAGAGCACAAGGGACATTGTTTTTGGAAAGACATCTTTTTCAAATTAAATTTTCATTGTTGTGAGCAGCACAAACAATGTTCCATTTATCTTAATTATATTGGGTAGGCCGCAGAAATTTCCAGGACTGATATTTCAAATAAAACTGAAAAACACTAAAGTGCAGTCCTAGATACAATTAGTGGTGACTATGCTGTTTTTTAAAAGTTTCTGGTGTCTGATTGAGAGTTGTACCAGATGTTTGCTGACAGTGACAGCTACTGAAACCAAATCAGCATGCGTCTTGCCACCTGCTTGTCACCCAACTCAAAATCTACCTGATGTGTTCTTGTCTTCACAAGAGTAGCACAATATTGTTATCAAGTTTATTCATTATATCCTCACTAAACAGAGGTCCAACAGCAGTTTAAAAGTATGTTTCAGTTAGAATCTAACAACCTCCAAGGCAGTTTAGACCTTAAAGCTCTGATTCGTTTTGCTGTTTATGCTATTAATCAAAGTTCGTCCTTTCCAGTCTTCTTTGAATGTTGTAGGATAGGCTTGATTTATTGGCCAAGGCGTCCTCAGTGGCATTTAAAAGTAAGTTCAAACCTTATAGTATTGATTCTTTGTGCTGTTCATACCAGAAATCTCAGCTGGCCCTCACCAGTTTCTGTTGCACTGTAAAAGTACAGGCCTCATTTACTATCTAGAGTTTCTTCAGGAGCTTTCGAGGGCAGTGGACACATGATACGTCTGTGTCTTCATCCTCCGCTTCATCTCTCTTATCATCTGGCATACAGCCAGAGGGTAACAGCAGTACACTGTGGTCCAGTCCTCACACACACTGCCCTGTGGATAAACATGCAGGCAGGCACACACATGCATGCAAACACATATAGAAGAAGCACACAGGCAGACACAGCAATGCAACATCCAAAACTATGAGTTACGTGTCCATTAAAAAGGCATAAAAACATAAACACAGAAATTCACTCACACAACTTAAAGTGAACCTATGAGAGCATTTAGTAAGAAACTGGACAATGTTTCCTGGCCAGTCTTAAAACTTGCTTGAGATATCACAACTCTGAACATTTTGTCACCTTCATTTTCTATTTTTGAAGGTATATTATCGATATGTGGTAATGCTTTTATGAGCAAGA